TCCCCCCTTAATTCGACATTAATTATTGTCATTGTCTCAAATCCGTAGAGTCACGTTGCAGAAGTCCACGTTCATATCATACGCATTCGGCCCATCTTGCCCATTTAAATAAGGTATCTTTCTTTCTATAGATACACTTCCGCCGGTTTGTTTCCAACGAAAGAAGGGAAGGGATCGTATTCGACACTTCAATGGCAAGAATCAGGATTAAATTGGTGGGTTGATTCACTCAAATGTGAAAGTAGGGATGGGAGGTGGACCGCCAATGGAGAAAAAAGGAAAGAAAATCCTGAAATACACAGGAAATACGAGCATTTTGCTCCATGCTGTGGAGAAGTTCAAAAGACAGGCAGGGAGATGAGAGATAATGTGAGCGCGGAGAGCGGTAGAGAAGTCCGAGAAGAGATCAACGTGGCGACGCAGACAAGATATCGAACGGTGGGCGGACCATGTTAAGTTTGGTGGAGTCTGTTAGAAGTCCATGGCGCCTAGGGTCCTAGTGACGCGTTTCGATGTAGAAAGGTGGCGCTACCTTTGCACTTGCGTACCCAGCACTTCTAGCCATGGTAAGGGCTTCTTAGGTGGGTCTGAGCCCGAACTTTGCCTTTTAGCAGGGGAGAGTCGTGCGGTAAGATGTTGAGTGCCTCTGTGGATGATGATTCGATGGATGTGGTACCGGACCTTTACGATTTCAGCAAAAGCATTGTACATGGCTAACTTCACACAGTAGTTGATTCCGTGTAGATCTTTAATTACGATATATCGTAAGAAAATTGCTTTGAGTTGCAAAAATTGCACTATTACGGAACGACTGGAGCCAATTCATGTATTTGAAAATGATTTACGTTGATATAGAGAATCCACTTTCCACAGAAACCGCAGAAATTCATAAATTACTGCTGTATTATTTCATTATTTCATCAGAATGAGCAAGCCTCCTGTAAACATTTCCCAACCCCCGATTCCTCATCGAGGTACGCTGAATATTGACATTTACTCGAACTTGCACTTTGGCGCTTGATAGCGGCGAATATGGAACAAAGACCTTTGACCCCTTGCTGTTGAGAACAATTCTGAGATGAGCTCAAGAAGCAAAGCATAAGCTACGGATCAACAAGTGCTCTACTTCACCTACTCCCTTCAATATCAAATAGGGATCTCTTTTCTGCATCAAGTGGAATACAGAAAAATATTTGGATCATGCTTCAGCATCTCGAAGCGGTGACCGTCGCGAACAGCTAATTAATAGAAGTCCTTAGAATATTTGTAATGAATATAAAAGATGAGTTATGAAATGTTTTAGGAAGCATGAATATCGGATTGCGCTGGGTGGCCCGTCGGGGTTTTGGCTATTTGTTATATTTCGAGCATATTCACGTTGTGTTACTTTGACCATCCCATCCTCAATTTCTAACTCAGTCAAGAAACAATTCCTTTGCACAGTTCAGCTCGGTTGTCAGGGTGTCAATTTTTGTTGTATTTTTATCACTTTCTCTATGTCTATTTTGCCAACCTCTAATCAATGATGAGTCTTAAAGGTTGACAAAATAGCACAAGTTCTTCTAGAGAAGAGACAATAAACATTGGATGACTCTTAACAATTTCTTTTCAGTGGTTTTTCTTTGAAAATTTCTCATGTTCATGATTGATATGCAGGAAAAGCGCGCCCATTTTTCTGTCATACTACTCACACCATCCATGGTCGTGGTCCTGAATTCGTGTACAGGGGAGAGGCCAAAAAAGTCACTCTCACTTACATTCAAACAGAATTAATTACACTTTGCCAAACCAAACCGAATGAGCTCAATTGCATATTGAAGAGCACATTCTATTCTATCAAAAAAATTACATAGGGGCTTTCTACACCGACGACATCAGAAGATTTTCCCACGGAAACATGGTTCACGGTACGAGCTCAACGAGGTCGTCGAGGTACCATAGACGATTACGACGTCCCTGAAACGCTGGTCAAAAGCGGTTTGCATAGTCACAGCTAGTGTCTCTGAGAAGCTATTCACCAGTTATTGAAGAAATTATGTAGCAGCTTCAGGTCGGAGCGATTATGGTA